ATGTTATAGTTGCAGGGATAGTGAAACAACAAGGATTGTAATCATGGAACAAAAATGGGAGTCATAATGATAGAACAAATATATACATGTTTGTGAACGATCTCGGAATATCTGATTCGATTGGGATACCCTTAAGTGCAGCACTAGTGAACGTCTTTATGCAATCATTGTCAAAAGCCACCAACAAAGAAAAATAGCCATGTATGTGTACGAAAGGAATGAATTAAGGCCTTATAGAACAAGACAAAACAAAGGGCCATTTTCTCTTATGTTTTTGTCCACAAAAAAGGGTCGTTTTCTATACTCCAGAAATTTCCTTGTAACCTGCTTTATAAAGAAATTCAGTGCTATATTTGTTGGTGGGTTCACCTTGATTCATGAGGGTGATTCTTAGAGTCATCAAGTTTTACACTAATAAGTTGGTCCGAATGAAATTAAATTTAGTCTTTTAAAACAATTTTATGTTTAGAGTTTAGAGTTTAAAATCTTTAAATAAGTTTTATACTAATCAAGTCTTATAGATAAAAAAAAAAATGTGATTGAAAGAAAATTTTACTACAATAAAACAAATTGTTATATAGTGATTAGTGATAAACAGATTATGATAACACAATATTTATTACTAAAAATTATTTTTACCAATATTATAGATATAATATATGTTGGTATATTATTATAAAGTGAAGGTATAAACTATAACAATACACAAAATATGTTGTTGAATCTTATTCAAAATCAATACTAAAATTATATATAACTATGTCAAATAAATTTATATTTAAATATATTATATTTATAGTGACATTTTTTTTGTATGTTACTACATGTAATATTTTTTATAATGTTAAAAATAGTTAGTCAAATTTTCAAACATAAATTAATCATCTACAAAATTAGTGAATGCTTCGCACTAATAACAATCTTATAAATTTATTTTTTTCATATACTTTATAAAATTCAATGTATTTGTTTACTTCTTTATTAATTCTATTACATATGAATTTATATATGAATCAAAAACATAAAATGATTTCAAAATTGGTTTGTTGATGGAACCACTAGGATCGATCCTAGTGATGGAAGGTTGGAATGATCTTAGTGATGGAAGGTTGGAATAAGGTGCATAGAACATTAGATGAACTCTAATATCTTTATTGTAATTTTGATGAATAAAGTTTAAAAAAAAAAGTTTGTTGATGGTGAATGAGTAAGTATTGATTTTGAAAGATATTGTGACTTGGATACTATCATAATCTCAAGTCAGTTTTTTCTATTAGCCAAATTTGTTGATCTTGTTGTGGAATTATCAGTTTGTTTGTTTGGGCTCATGTCTCTTGAGTTTCAAAGATCTAATTGTTTTGTTATTTTTCTTTTTAAGTTTAATCAGCAGGGTTTATTGGCTTTAATAACATGTTGAATTGTGAAAATAAGGGCCTAATATAAAAATGTTGTTAGGTTAATTAGTGTATAAGTTTGGAAAGTGTTGTTCAAAAGTCTAAACTTAATAGGTTAAACACTCCTAATTATGTACTCTAAACTTTTTTTCTCTCTTTGTTTTGTCTTATATACAACTCTATATTCTCTGGCATGATCGATTTGTGTTTCATTTCTCGTGGTAACGAAAAATATTCTTACCCTTTGTAATAGAACAGTATCTTCTGGAGCACACAACCAGAAATTTTCGATTAGAAACCCCAAAAATAAAAATAAAAATAAATCTAAACAAACGTGATCCCTGATGAATTTTACGTGGCACACTTTTTTTAAGAAAATGGGATTGATCAGTGATCACTTAAATATTCCTTAGATACAAAATTGGAGGGGTTTATGATAAATTCCAGTTAACTTTTTTAAAAGTGCATTACTTTTAATATTGATCGCAAGTGTAAATGTACTTTCGCATATAAATCGCATGCTTTCTTAATTATCAAAGTACATCACAAAACAATTTGTTAAAATTTAGTTGAAAACATTTTGTAAATCAAACTGCAACATGTTATAGAAGCTGTAAATGTTTTGTCAGTATGTTACCATGTCATTCATTGTTCGTGTAAACTCACAATAGTTTAGAGAAGATAAATAATAACTTCTAGCTTATTTTTTTTAATCTTTTTATTTTATTTTCTGACTAAGATAACCCTGAGAAAGACACAAATTTCATATCATAATATCATATTATAATCAATGGTAAAATGTATGTAAAAAGACACTTCAGAGATGCGATAATAACAAATGTCCAGCATAAGAATTGGTTTTGAAAAACATTGAACCTTTTTCCTGTGATTGACACGATAACAAGAAGAAACATTCATACACGTAAGGGGATATATTCTATCTTAAAAGGAATAATCTCGAATAATCTCCCATAACTAATTAAGGTTAGAATTTTTAATATATATATA